AGTCATTCGTGAGTGGCAATCAATAAAGGTGACAAAGTACTTTGCTCCACTTACCGAAGCAATAGGAGAAGTCCATACATCAGAGTGAACCAACACAAATGGCAAAATGCTTTGAAGTCCTCTGCTTATGTATGTGGTTCGTGTATGTTTTCCATACTCGCATGCATCACACATTAATTTGCTTTTGTCCACCTTACTCATCTCATCAGGAAATACCTTAGACATAGTATCAAAGGACATATGTCCCAATTGACAATGTTTTAGAATCAATTTAGCCTCCTCTTCACTTGTGCTAGCTAACAAAGCACTACATAGTGCTTTGTCCGTCCCTCTTCTATCCAGATACCACAACCCATTATGCCTAACGCCGGTTCCAAGCTTTCTTCTAGTTCTTCTCTCCTCAATTAGAAAATTCTCTCGGTCAATAGTAATTCGACAATCCATATGATCAACCAACGAGCTTACGGATACTAGGTTAACAGGAAAAGAGGGAGCATATAAAACTGACGACAATGTAATTGATGGAGTACATTTGACTGTTCCCACTCCCCTCACATGTCGTAAAGTTCCGTCGGCAGTTTGAATTGTTTCTTTAAATGATGACTGAAATGGAGTATATGATGTAAACTCACTCGACATTCCTGTAACATGTCTAGATGCTCCGGAGTCTAATATCCAAGTTGAGTTAGGTACCTGCATAGGATGTGCGAGATTAACAAAGTTGCCAAGCACTGTTGTTTTCTCCTTCACTTTCTGAATTCTTCCCCTTATTTCTTCAACTTCTTCAGCCAATTTCTCAAGTATTTGCTCAATTCCTTGAATTTCCCCCATGGCAGATCAACCAAATCTTCTAGGATACTAGCCAAATCAATTAATAGGAGTAACAACACTACTCCTCAGTTTCTCACCAAAAACAGAACAGCAGCAGTAGCACTACTTCCTCCCACCAGCACTACTTTTCAGTTTCCCCCAAATCAGCACATCAGCAGCAGCAAGCCAAGCTCTCGTACTCAGTTTCTTCCCCAAATCAGAACAACAGCAACAGCAAACCAAGCTTCCGCTTCACCTCCAAATCCTCACCTTCTCAAGTAGCAACAGCACCAGCAACAGCACCACCAAAGTCACCACTGGAACGGACAACAATAGCCAATAGCACCAAATCCTTCTCTGTTGATCCTACAGCCAACAGCTGCGCGTCTCTCAGTCGCTGTGCTCCCTACAGCTTGTGCTGCACCAAATCCTTGCGCAGCTCAACCAGCGAGCGTGCGCCCTGCTCCTCCTTCACGCTGCTTGCGTCGAGAACCTCTGCAGCAGCCGTCGCCGCCTCCGCCGTCGACACTGCCGCTCCGCCTCCGCTGTCCGACGTCGCCGCTCCGCCTCAGCCGTCGACGTCGCCGCAGAACCCCTCTGGTCACAGCGCCGCCGCCGACTAGGGTTCGCATCGGCGAGGTCGCCGGTGACCCAGCTCTGATACCATGTAGTTTTGTGATTTTTCCTCTAGAAGCTTCACTTTATTTCCTTTCTCATCTACTATACATATACATTGGTGGAATGGGCCCTATTGGGCTGAAATACACACACCTACACTCAACACAACTATCAGGAGCGTCATTGATATCATCGATCATTCACTTCTGTTCTGATTAATTCCATCGATTTGAATTTCACTTCTGTTCTGATTAATTCCATCGATTTGAATTTCTTACCTCTCCAAGAGGTACAGGAGACATATACCTTGTCTTTTCTAAGGATGGGGAGAAAACTTTTGGACTAAATTTCACAAAACTACAGATACTATGATCAAACTATCACAAAACTACACATTTAAGATGAAGTGTCACAAAACTACAAGTTTAGAACCAATTTAGTTAAAAAAATAATAATGTTTATAGCTCCAGATAATAATGGTGCTAGGGATTTCAACTCTAAAAGCTGTAGTTTTGTGATAACTTCAATATTAAATATGTAATTTTGTGATACTTAACCTTAAATCAGTAGTTTTGTGATAAATATGGTGCTAAATCTGTAGTATTGTGATATAACGCCTTAAATCTATAGTTTCGCGATAGTTTGATCAAAATATTTGTAGTTTTGTGAAATTTACTCAAAGTTTTGCTTAAAAGCAGTCATTTGTCCTAACCCTCTCTTCCCTAGCGTGCAACATATCTTACTGTAAGAAAAACAGAAAATTCCAAGAGAAAAAAAAAAGGTATATCACCATCCATCCTCCGCTCATGCCCTTGCCACCAACCACCTCCAATTCGGGAAACTATTTTAATTCATCAAGATGTTCCCTTGTTTACTTAAAAACTATCTAAACGATTATAAAAATTCAATAAAAAATTGACAACACTTAACATATCTATACAACTTCACTTAATTGTTGATCCAAATTCAACTCATACGGCCGTGATATAAAAATGACAAATTCAACGTATAAATAATACCGTACTGTTTGCACCTAAATTTTAACTTTTTTGTTTCTCAATGTTTTGATCGAATTTGAACTTAATTTTTGGTAGACCAATATATATATCACCATACTCTATGTTGTGAATATTTTTCATAATTTTTCGGTACAACTTGTATTGAATTTGGAAGAAAAATGTACACAAGGTGACGTGCCGGCGTGCTGGAGGCCTACCGCCCAGCAGCTGCCGCCGGATAATTGGCCAGCAGTTTCTGATTCAACACCGTTCTTCTCTGTTCGAAGCCATGCCATGGCATGGGCTCAATCTGGGGATCTAACACTCGGCTAACTACGTGCTCAACCCCTGCATGGGTTACTGGGCGATGCTGCGCGACGACGACGTCTGCCGCTGCCCGCTGCTCGCCGGCCACGCCGCCATGGGCTACGACGCGGCGGCGTCATGCTCGTCGGCGGCGGCGACGACGACGAAAGGAGAAAGGCAAGATCGCCGCCGCCAAGGCCGGTGGCGGACGACGTGCCGCCAGCCTACGCTAACGTGAAAATCCACGAGTTCCGCCATGGCGTGCGAGCTCGTGGCGCTGGACATGGAAACTCGCGAGTTCGAGGTCATCGTCCAAGGCCCGCCGTGCCGCCATGGCGAGGGCAAGATGACCGTCCTCGAGCTCCACGGCGCGCTCTGCGTCGCATGCTCGGACATGGTGAATTGTGACGCCGTGACGGCGCTTGGTCGATCGAGTACCGTGTAGAGCTCGGCGAGTTCTCGTCAGAGTTGATCCGATGGATGGCCGCATTCTGCTCAACGCGGGCATGTCGCTGGGCTACTACGACTACGACCCCAAGACGGCGGCGCTCGAGACGATCTACCGTGTTAGCGTTCCAGGTTATGATGCCGTCTGGAACAGGATCTGTCCAATTATCTGCCAAGAAAGCCTGGTCCGCGTAGACCGTGGCGATTCTGATTAACCTGCAACGTTTAGAGCATCACCAACTTGATTGATTATCCACCTGATACAAGTGTGATTAGGGAAATCATTTAGTAAAAGATTTTGCATGGGTACTGTAAGCATACTTAAACAAAAGTCATGCAGCATTGGGTTTTGTTTGCCAAGAAACTTTCGTTGGATGCTTACACCTTGTTTCAGTATTTTCAAATGATCCTGCATATTCTCAATAGTGTTTACCGACCACACCAAAACATATGACACATGCCATGCCACATTACCCTTTATGTAGGTGAACAAACAAAGTCCTACTTCTAGCCAGAAACTTGAATTTGAGATGATAAATTATCAATATTATATCAAAATAGGTATAAGCAGTATACAGCACATGCCTTCAGCCTTGTTTAGTTTTCCAAACTTTTTCTTCAAACTTCCAACTTTTCCATCACATCAAAACTTTCCTACACACATAAACTTCTAACTTTTTCATCACATCGTTCCAATTTCAACCAAACTTTCAATTTTGGCTTGAACTAAACACACCCTTCATATCATACCTCGAGTCCTCGACGTTATCTATCATTCCGTCTCCTACAACTCCTGCCTTCTAGAAACAGGAATAGCAAAGTGGATGCTCAAAATGTCAAGGAAAAAAAAGTAACTTCTGAGTAAAACTGAAGGTCACATTAACCTTTAGGGAACATTAGGAGAGTTATATCAGAGATTACTGATATAACCGCTCCAGGTTTACGAGGTGAAGATGAACAATAAAACCCACCTGCATAATCACTCTGAACTCCCAAGATGTAAGAGCAGCTTCATGTCACGTAGATATAGGTGACCCCAACACAAAACCAGTTATAGGATTGTAACACAGAAAACAGAGCTTAGCTCTGAGTTCGTTCTGCATCAGAATCCTGACTCCAAAACTGAATCACTCTCGCAACAAGGATGCATAATTGCTGCTCATTGTAACAGCTCAAAGAAGTCTAGGACTATAAGCAATCAAATCAAGCTAAACATGTAACTGCTTTCATGACTAGCAATATCTAGTGCTTCAAGCCTTCATCTCAATAGAGATGTCCAACCACTTGTACCGATCCAGCAGTTTCAAAACAGTCATAAGAGCAGTTTCAAAATAGTCACAAGACTCCTAGCTGCTTGATGTGGTGTTTCAAATTAATAACATGTCTGATTAAAAGCACAGAATGCGACACAACACATTTGTACATTCATAACCATCAACGGTTTAGAAAATCAAAATTGATATGCTTAAGCAGGTAAAGGTTAGGAGGTTGGAATTTGGCCGTGTTCATTCAACACCACACTATTGAGACCACTTAAGACTCTGCATCACAATGCAGACAAACACCAAACCCCAGTAGCGATTATATACAGGCTATCTAACAGATAATCATTGATATACAAATAAGAAACCACCACAAGCACAAGATACCAGCGTTAATTATGCCTTCAAGCACATTGAAATTGCCCTGTCATCAGAGATCTTGAATACCCAGAACTGAAATGCAGAACGCAACAGGAAGAAACATTTAAACGGAATCGGCATCGATCTTCATCTGACCACCATGATGTCGAAGCCGAACCACATTACCCCAGGTGAGTGATGACAACAACACATAGCACATCTCAATTTCAGTAGCATTTTTCATAGCATCGAGCAGCACCAAAGCATGCAACCGATGAGTTTTATCAGAAACAAGAGGCACATTTCATAGAGTAAGGGCGCATCAAAGATTCAAGAGCTAGCGTATTCACATGGAGTGCACACCACCCAATACTCCCCCCCCCCCCCCCCCCGCCCACAAACACACATCACGGAATGACACGGACATCACGAATTAGGCCATAGATAGGTAAATTTTTCCCAGTTCATCACGGATTTGACCAAACCCTAGAGCTAGTTCATGCCGCCGTCGTGCGCCTCGACGCCGGGGATGATGACGTAGCCGACCTTCTTGGGGCTCTCGGAGTCGGACGCCTCCTCGTCCTCGTCGCCGTAGAGCTCGTCGTAGGGGGAGGGCGCGGCGGCGGCGTCGCCGGCGAGGACGGACCACACGAGGTACATGGAGGCGGCGGTGAGCGCGCCGCAGCCGACGCCGAAGAGGATCCCGACGACGACCACGAGGATGTCCTTGGCGCGCTCCTGGAAGCTGTCCGCGGCATGGGCCGCCGGGCGGGGGTGCTCCGGGAGCTCGGGGCGGCGGATCTGGACGTTGGCGGGGATGGAGTGGAGGTGGTGGAGGTTGGGGTGGGCGTGGCCGTGGCCGTGGACGTGGGCGAGGTGGGGGCCGAGGCGGCGGACGCGGAAGACGGTGATGACCGTGGCCGTCGCCAGGGCGGCGCCGCGGTGGTCGCCCACCTCGCCGTCGCCGACGATGGGGTTGGGGTTGGCCGCGAAGGAGACGAAGAAAGTGTGGCACGGGCGAGCCGCCGCGGCGGGGGAGGCGGCGAGGAGGGACACGGAGGCTACGGCGAGGAGGAGCAGGGCGAGGCGGCGGCCGGCCATGGCGGCGCGGGCGACGGCGAGCGGTGGCCGGAGGAGGAGGAGGAGGAGGTGGGTTTTGATTTGCGGGAAGGTGAGGGTGCTCTTGGCAAAAGTAGAGCCTCGGTGGTGGGCTTCTTCCAGATCGAGGGAATCCGAGGAGGAGAGTTTAATGAGAGGGATTTCTTACATATAAGCCCTTTCTCTTTTGTCTATATTGCATTTAGTGCAATGTGAAGAGGGACAGGATGAATTCGTGGTATTTATAAGAATTCAAAGGTTTTTAATGCAATCGTATTTTGACTTTGACTGCTTCACTGGTACTACTACAGTAGTAGTACAGTGCAAGGAAGTTTTCTTGCAATTAGATCCTCCGGTTTGTTGTTATTTAGGGAAGTGGGTTTGTGTTGGGCTCGTGCACGGTGCATCGACAGCGTCGAGAGTTGGGAGACACATGAGTGATGCGGGGAGAGTGGATAGGATCAGCAGAAGATATCAAGCCTGAATGAACAGTGTGTGTACTCTTGTCAGTGCTTGTACATTTCGAGCACTAGCATTTGCTTGGAAATCTACTGTGATTACTACTAACTAGGGTTCTTGGCAAATCCAGGCCGTCTGTTTCTGATCCAACGATCTCATGATGGTGGAAGAGCAGCCACGCTGGGACACGTGGATGGCCAGATTGTCCCTCGCGCGTGATCGAACGGACCTCAATAGCATGAACCGGAACGTAATTAACCAAAGATGAGGAGTATTTCTGAAAATATTGATGAGGTGGCAAGCTAATCTTCTCTATTCCCACGGTATTTAAGTAATGTAATATATACTCCTCTTAGTAGTAGTTCTTTGATGATTAACTTCTAATCTTCATCCAAAATCTGTGAGCACTCGCAATCTTTTTTGCATGTTGGAAGAGAGAATCTTGCATCTCGTCTGCACTAAATAGATGTGTTGGGGTGATGGAGCGTAGCAGACTCTTGGTGGCCGCCGCGAGATGATCGACGACGACTCGCTCCAGCGTCGCCGGCTCGCACTGCAGCCTCGTGTCATCACACATGTCAACCCATCCACCCGCCGCCCATGCCAACACCGCTCGACTCGCCACAGCACATTCTGCGGCGGAGGAGACAACGGCGGGGGCGGGGGCAGGGGTAAGGGTGTAAATGGCTAACATGCGAAATCCACTTATAAACTAAAATAAGCCGTAAACCCATTTATTTTGATCTATAAGTGGATTCGCGGCTGACCCACTTACACCCCTAGGCGGGGGTGGCTATGCTGGTGGGCTTTTTTATCGCCGAACACCACAGTGGTGCTGAAGGACGGACATATCCACTCCGGTGATGGCCATGGCGGTATGGGCGGATGTAGGTCCTCCGATCGACACGTGGATCTCATAGACCTTCAAACCCCCATGTTAGTGAACATCATTGTATTTGAGGATCTTGATACAACATAAGTTGAATGGGTATGGCCGGTGGCCTCTTAACTCTGCTCGTCGGGGTTTAACATATGGTTCGTTCGTTTGAGCGGAGATCGGGAGATTGGGAAGCGGCGACGGAGACAGCTCCTAGAGAAGTCGAGCAACTGCTCAGGTTCCATCGCTATTGTCTCCATTGCCGTTAGCCATCAATGCATATAAAAATCAACCGATTACCTGAAAACGCTATTAGTCGTTCGAGTTTCACAGTGGTGCTGGCTCCACCATTGCTGGGAAGACAAGTGCCCTAACAGTGGGGGCTATATAGGTCCCACGTTAACTCAGTTGGATTGACTGCAGTTAACGCATCACGACTGTTGAAATTTATCGTAGTACTTTCTTGAGACCTTGAAAAGTATGGTATTACAAGTTGAGGGACATATTATATCTGATATTGGCACATTGCGGTTTGAAGAACACGATTTGAATTGGATGTTAAGTCGAGGAATCTTAAGTAAACTTACTTCACTTATTTATGGGACGGTGAGACCCATATTAATTATTGGGCCAGGGCGGAGTAGCGGCGGAAGATATTGGGCCGGAACGACTGGCAAAGGGGAAGACTTTCTGAGGCGTGTGATGGGCTTTGGAGATCGTCGAACGGGCCTGGCTTTGGTTAAAGAAGGAACAGCAACGATAGCACAAATCTTGGGCTGATTGGAACAGCCAATTCTTCTTTTCTTGTGTTGTATTCACGCTTTCGTCATAACGTAAGTTCTTGCTGATGGAGTTTTTGGGTGCAAACAGCGATAACAAAAGACTGCCACCATGCAAAGAAAATGAATCTTGATTCTAGCTGCCCCGGCTGCATTGTCGAAAATGAAATACAGACGTCGGAGAAGGTGTCATTTAACGATTAGTTGGAATTATGCGGAAATTTAGCATTTTCAGATATTTACATATTTTACGATATTAGTCATACTGTTTTTTAATTAGGCATGATATTAACGCAAAATATAGTTATACATGGTTGTACACCAAAAAGTGACAAATTCTAGGTCATACTGGATGAATAAAACATAAAAAAAACCTGTGAGTAAACATACACGATTTAATGCTAAGATCATAAAAGATAAATCTGTTAGTACTTTGAATGATCATGGAGTGCAAGGTATGGATGATTAAAAAAAGCATGATAATTATAGGCCGTATCACGTTAAGGAATAGTTTTCCTACCGTATCTGTATAAATGGACAACTCAACGTCAGGTACCACTGTTTTCTACAGTACTATGCTGATTTACTCGTTGGTCGTGAGATAGGTTGATCGAGGGATGGACGTGGGTAACGGCTAGCCTTTTTTTAAACGCTTAAAGTTAAATGATAGTAGTTCATGCATAACACCTGAACTACTAAGATTCAACTTTAGACGTTTAAAATAAAATTTAATTTATTTATATAGTTGAAATAAATTGGTTTAATCGTTACACACGGGTCGGCCGACGCCCGTTCTCTTCTCCTAACCATTTCTCTTTCCCTTTGAGTTATTCAGCCATGTTCATCAATTAAGTGCTTGGTTCAAGTGATGCAGACAGTGGCGGAGGCAGGATAAAATTATGGAAAAAGTACATCAAAGGTCCCTCAACTTGTCATCGGAATAAAAAACATCATCGAATCGCAAAAACAGATATACCAGGTCCCTTAAATATACAAGACCGGTCACAATAGGTCCTTCGGCGGTTTTGATCCTGGTTTTGTCCTACGTGGCTGCTGAGTCAGCGTGGGGCCCACGTGGGCCCCACATGTCAGCCTCCTCTTTCTTTCCCCTCTTCTCTCCCTTCCTCTTCTCTCTCTCTTCTCTGGCTCTGGGCAGGCCGGCGCCGGGGCGAGGCGGGAGAGGAGGTCCGGCGGCCGGCGACGTGGCGGCGGTGGCGGCGGCGACGACGACGCGGGAGCAGGTGAGGGGCGTCGGCGGCGGCGAGGGGAGCAAGGCGGAGCTGGTGGGAGGCATCGAAACCGTGGACACTGGCGGCGACGGCGCAGTGGTTACGCCGGGGAGCTGCGGAGGCGAGGGAAGCATTGGATTAAGACTCACGGGAGGCGGAACGGCGGATGAAACTGGCGCTTCCGGCGGCGGCAAAGGCGCCGTCGTACGCGGCGATGGCTTGGACGGCGACGACAAGGTGGGCGAGTACTCGATCCAGGCATTCACCATCCTCCCACTGGTGAGCTCAACCCTGGCGCCATCAAGATCGGCAACAGCGGCGGACACCATAATACCAAGATCCAATCCCACACGATTCCCATTCACATCCCCGAACTACACATCCATGGCAGGAGAGCGGCGGCGGCAGCGCTGGGTTCGTTGGCTTCTTGGCGTGGACGTCTTCGCCGCCGCCGTCGTGCCAAGAAAACTTGCGTTTTCTCCATGGATTCGGCGTGCTCGAGCTCGACGTCGGCTTCCAAGCGGGAGGATGCAGCGGAGTTGACAGGGATGAAAGAGATGGACTCGCCGGGGCCGACGGGGAGGTTTCCGACCTCGGGCGTCGGCCATGAGCTTGGTGCCCTTGAGGAAGAGGTGGAAGTCAGGGGAAACCAGCGCGAGAGTGAAGGAGGAACATAGCGCCGTCCTGAGGTCGCTGATGGTGGCGGAGGCGGCTCCTCACCCTCGCCGCCGCCGATGCCCTCCCCTGCTCCCGCGTTGTCGTCGTCGCCGCCGCCTTGCTCCCCTGATCCCGCGTCGTCTCCGCTGCCGCCGCCGCCACGTCGCCGGCCGCCGGACCTCCTCTCCCGCCTCGCCCCGCCGGACCTCCTCCCCCGCCTCGCGGCCTCGCCCCGGCGCCGGCTTGCCCAGAGCCAGAGAAGAGAGAGAGAAGAGGAAGGGAGAGAAGGGAAAGAAAGAGGAGGCCGACATGTGGGGCCCACGCTGTCTCAGCAGCCACGTAAGACAAAACCGGGATCAAAACCGCTAAGTGACCTATTGTGACTAGTTTTGTATAGTTAAGGGACCTCACATATCTGGTTTTATGGTTCGAGGACGTTTTTTATCCCGATGACAAGTTGAGGGACCTTCGGTGTACTTTTTCCTAAAATTATAGTGGTGGCTAAACCATAATGACCAAGAGCAACTAAAACTAAGAGATATTTAGGGTTGGTTTTAGGACTTTTGGGGGCCTTCTTAGCTTTTTAGGCCTAACAACCTCAAACAAAGTCTATATTAGCCCCTCACCTATAAATATATGGATTAAAATTTTAGGGGGGGTATTATGGAGGCTTTAATGGTATGTTAGGGGTAGGGGGTCTAAAGAACCCCCCCAACGCTGTCTCCGCCCCTGGATGCAGAGGTTGGGAATTGGGCTATTTATTCTGTTGTTTAAAAACAATTCGCCCATACCAGTATTCTTATTTCACCAGTTCTTTTATATGGACAAGTTGTCCTCTTTTACCATACAAACAGGGATGGATCCAAGAAATAAATAGAGGAGGGTTTATTTGCTTCCTGCTCCAATCCCCTACTTTTCTTCCCTCTCCCTCTTCTCCCCCCTTCCATCTTCCCCTTCTCTTAATGGTGATCTCGTGGGATAGGAGGACTTAGTCCCCAAGCACCCATGCTAGATCCTTCCCTGCCTCAAAAAGGACTGATCTTGTCAATGAAAATTTTGCATAGATATAGCCAACATTTTGACTATTTTTTTTATTGTTTACACCCAAATATAGTAGCAAAATTGCAATATTATGA